ATTCCCAAACACCTGGGCCTCCTGAAATATGTCCGTTTTCAAAGTCAGAATTAACTCCTCGCTGTACATCAGGCTTTAAAATCTCCTCTGGTAATGATTAAGGGAAGAACTTTAAAAATGTTATGTTCAACAATACTGAAAATATACTAATTTATTTTGTAAGTGATATGTGTTTCAAGGAACAAAAAGTTTCGGGGGAGGGGGTAATAGCTCACTGGTAGAGCACGTGCTTAGCATGGACAAGGTCCTCGGTTCTAATCGCCAGTACCTCCATCAAAGAAAAGGAAAAAGGTTTTCACCGCCCCCTCTAACAACTGCTATCTTTCTTCCTAACTCCTAAATCTTTCCAGGAAGTCCAATTTGTGTGGAATAAGCAGTTTGTTTACTCTAACTCCCTGAAACTGGGGGAAAGTGAGCCAGGAGCAAAGAATAACAATCCAGTCACCAAAACATACTTACTGTCATCCATGTCTTGAAAGCTGGATGTATGCTGACTGTAAAAGAAAATTACAATTATAATACAATTATACAATAAAAAAATACAATTATAATACTTCAGGGAACAGGGCATCTTATCAGGAATTTCTCAAACCTTTAATTTGAGAAAGAAAACTCTAATTATCTCTGTTAAGAGTAATTGATATATAAGTTTGAAGACCTCGCTTTTAGAAGCAGTCTCTACCAGAGCGAACAGGATGGACCACCACTGTCCAGCTCCAACCTCTGTGCCTATCAGGCCACAGGCTGTGTGACATCAACTCTCTGGACACCAGGTCTCTTTCACAGAGTTCTGAATTCCATTCCATGTTCAGATACAACTTTAACACCAATGGAAATGTGAAATGCCCAAATACTATTTTAAATCATTTAATTTCAATTTCACCTTGTCAGGGTTTTTTTTTTCCTCAGAGAACCTTTTAAGGTCTGACTGTTAATCAAAAGCAAATTTGGGATTTCAATGAAGCAAAAAGACAGTGACGTGGGAAGGCTGATATCTAAAAAAAACTCATATATCTAGAAGTCCAATTATAGAAGACAGGTTATGTTTTAGCAATACATACTATTAAGTATGGACTTGCAGCCATCTACCAGGATTTGGATATAGATTCACTGACTTCAGAATATTATCATACTTTACGGTTGACAAAAGGATTTGAAAAAGCAATTTGAATAGGATATCTGTTCTAAATCAGGTTTCTATAATTTCAAGGTTCTCACACCAGCAAAGCTAATTCCATTAGATGAGGGAATTACTTTAACCACAAAGGGTTATTCCTTGCTGCTCTGATAAAACCATGGGTGAGGCTTTGAACAGCAGGGGAGATACCACCAAAAATGGTGGCATAAGACTTCTGAAAATCTCTCCTCTATAAACGTAACGAAAAATCTGGCAAAAAAAATTTTTTGTCAGAATCAGGTTTTTCTGACTCTGGAAACTAAAAGCCTTCAGTAGCTCAGGAAACATTTATTCAAAAGGAACAACTGAATCTCAGTATGAACAGCAAGCTTTGTGGCATGGTTCCATCATTCACTCTCCAGCTCTGTGGTAGCCTTATTTTCAACAGCCAAGATTCCAATGCAAGCCACCAGAGGGGGCAAAATGGAGGTAGAGCTCTTTCAAAGCCTCATTCCCAAAGAACTGTCACTATCTGACTCTTCTGCTGGTTATCTGGAAGAACTCACTTGCTTTCAAAGCTATCTGCATTTGACCTAACTCGGAGTCCACTCTGCAAAGGCTTCTTCTCAGACAGCTTTTGGCAAAACAACTTTTGGCAAAAAGATTTAATACCCTGGTTCTCTGAGGCAGTGGATAATATTTAGGGCAAATGACAGAATAGCCAAAAAGCTTAATAGAAGAGCGTATATTAGAGGTCCACAGGGGTTCTGACAGCTCTGAAACATCCTTGGGAGTTTAAAAGTCCACGCACATTTGGAGAGCTGTGTGCACACCTAAGCTTGTAAGCATGCTCAAGAAAGACATGAGATGGCCCTACGCATTCAACCCTGGCTGACTCTGAGGCTCTTCCCAAGCAGGAAATGAAGACGAAGGCAGAGTTTTCAACTGTTTGGCTGATACTGCTGAAGGCATGCCCCAGCATGCACACAGGGCCCCTCATGAAAAATTGTAATCTTTGTCCAATCATTAGCTGACTACTAAGCTAATCAGTAGAGACTTCAGGGTCCACACAAAACAAAGAATACACTTTACAGAATTAGCTGAGAAAAGTCACTAAACAACAACTATAACAAGCAGCAACCACAACAAACCTTGGAGAATGGGAAGAATCTGATTTCCAGAGTTGCCATGTTATGTTGTTTTTAATGTGTAGTTTTCAATAAAAGAAAATAAAACATGCAAGAAACAAGAAATATGGCCCATAGAAAGAGACAGGTGGGAAGCACTCAGTAAAAACTTTCCCTGAAGCCCAGACATCGGCCCTACTAGACAATGACTTTAAATTAGTTATTTTAAATAAGTCCAAAGGACACCATGTCTAAAGAACTAAAGGAAAGTATGAAATAATGTCTCCAACAGAGTGTCAATAAAAAGATAAAAATCTTAAAAATTGAAAAAAATTCACTGGAGGAGCTTAACAATAGATTTGAGGAGGCAGGAGAAAGAATCAGTAGACGTGAAGCTAGGTCAAGGGGGCAGGATGTAGCTCTAGTGGTAGAGCGCGTGCGTGAGGTCCCGGGTTCAATCCCCAGTACTTCCTCTAAACATAAATAAATAAAGAAACCTAACTACCTCCCCCTCGATTAATAAAAATAAATTTAAAAGTTTAAAAAAGAAGGCAGGTCAATTGAGATCCAGTCTGAGGAATAGAAAGAGAAAAAAAATGAATAAAAGTGAAAATGGACCTTCCAGTTTCCACTCCAACATGTAAAGAGCTCAGGAATGATCATATCATCCTCAAAACAAGGAGAAGAATGGAAGATTAACAAGTCTTCTTAAGTCAACAGGAGAACTGAAGTCGCAGGGGAAATAGCCACCCCCGAAAGTTGACAGGTGAATGAAGAGAATCACAGGGGCCACCGCGGGATGGAAGTGCCTTGGGCAGAAGCACTACTACAGACGAACTGGAGGCTGAATGAGGACTAGCTCGAAGGGGAAAAAAACACTCCTGGGGGCACAGGGGTTTTTTGTTTGCGTTGACAGGGAGGAGCGGACAACTGTCATGCGTTTTACCTCTAGGAGCTCAATTAGGTTCTTACGGTGAAGACTGAAGAAAAAACCCTCATGCCTTGGTCTCCAGGAACACCACAGTGGAGGCAGCTTTGTTACCGCTGGGAGATAGCAGAAGTCCTGAATTTCTACTCGGCTTCCTCTGATACCACCCCAGCAGTCGGGTGGAATGGTGCCTCATTTCCACCAGGTGAGGGTGGAAGTCCAGACTGCCCAGTGTCTCCACTGACACCACAGGGTTGGGTCAGGGGTGTTACGACCCACGGATAAAGTCTCCGCTCTTCTCAGCCTTCTCTGACACTAATGTGGAGAGAGCGGGGTTGGGGGCACCTCTTCACACCCTGGTGAGACTGGAAGTCCGTATTCTCCACTTAGTCTGTGCTGTGGGGTGGCAATGAGGCTATAGTTTTTTTCTGTGATGTTTGGCTGGAATATTGCTGATATTTCTGTCCTTTCTAGGCTGCCTGTTTCCTGGTCTGTCGGCTAGAAAACAGCAAGCTTTTGTTGGGCTTTTTTGCCTGTACCCATTGGTGTTTCCAGGTTACCACCTCCTTCAGCTCCAAGCCTGGAGATAGGAGGCAAAAACCAAATCTAGGGAATTCACCACCATGTTGTTCCTTGGATCTCAAGGTTACTAGCTAGTCTGTTTTCTTCTCTCCATCTCTCAGGGCCTCATGTTTGTTTTATGTGTTCAGGGGTTTTAGTTGCAGTTACTGGGAAGCATAAGGAAAGGAACATCCTCTCCATCTTACCAGAAGCAGAGATCTCTCATGTAGCAGATTTTGAAATCAGTCCTCTATTTTATGACTGTGCCAACCCTGCACATGCCAGACCTTGAGAGTGAATGACTCCTTAAATTTTGCACCCCAGGCGCCTCGCGTGTGCCATCTTAGACGGGGCCCTGCCCACATTTCAACAGAACTTATCTTTCCAGCTTCATTTCCTCACATCCTATGTAATTTCACGCCTCTGAGCCTTGGCTAGCTGGCTCTCAAGTCTCTCACCTCCCCTATCTGCTAAAATACTAATCCTGCAAAGCATCACTTAAGTGCCATCTCCTCTGTAAAAATCTTCCCTGATTCCCATCTGCCGATCCTCCATGTTAATTGCTCCTTTTCTCCTGTATCCATGACCTTTACTTGTACACCTCTGTGAAAATTTGAACTTCATTTGCCTTAAGTTTTTCCAGTTTCCTGCTTTAACTCTGAACAGACATTCGTCCTGAGTAAAGGAACTGACTATGTTCACCCTCACTGAACACAATAATTTGAGTTGAATTAGCTGTGGATTTCCTTCTGCTTTTTATCTCACTAAAAAATGTCTTAAAAAAATTTCCAAGTTTCTTTTCTATTCCTTCTTATTGAAGTAGCAACTATTCTGAGGGACAGGGCCTTGAATGAGCTTAAGAAGACAGGCTATGTTGACTTTTCCGGAAAGAGCTGACCACTTCATCTCTTGGTTTCCTTTTATTCCTGTGGCTACTTTA